ATAATTAACTCTAATTAAATTCCATGTACGGTTCGTCGCGGGTAAGTACACTTAATTGCGTCGACGCGATATCCGGAACGATTTTTTAGCCGCGAGTTAAAATCAGCAAAAAAAAAAAAACGAACGCGCCCCGTTATTGCATTTATTAAAAACTTGCGCGCGCTCAAGCTGACCTCCTAATCCCACATTCGCGTAAAAGTTCATATAAAGTTCGTAACTCCCGGACTTTAAATACGAAAATTTGCATTTATATTGCGCCGGATTTACTCAAAATTAGGAAACTTTCGAACCCGCGAGCTGACACACTCCGCCACTCCTTTTTTTTATCCGAACGCACACTATGGCAACATTTAGATTTTTTCAGGGCGCTATATCGCAAGTAAACTTGGCAACAGCTTGCTTATTCTAAACACCACATCCCTTTCATCGTTTTGCATTTGCCTAATTCATGAGAATTTCATGATAATTTTACAACAAATTTTCGATAATTTCATTAGGAACTATGTAGTGCAATTCCAGCACATCTGTTCACTCAAACCTAATAAACTCGTCAAGTAAATCTCTACTTTTCCGGACTTGGTAGGCTATACACTGCCTACTGGTTGTTGTCAGTGTATTGGGTAATAGCAAAATGCACAGACTACTCTGTTCGGCCTGTTTCTAATTTTCTAAAAGGACATGCCAGCCTATAGAAGATCTATCCTAGATCCCAGTTCACTTAATTGACGATAGACGGCACTTTTTCTTAGAGGACGCATTGCAGTGGTGTTTTCATTTAACCAAATGCAATGAAACTGAATAGCTCTAACCAAACAGATCGTGAGAAAAATGTTAACCTTTACTACACTTTATGCAGCCAATCGAATGATAAAACATTGTTGATATAGCTATGCACAAGCTGGGTGTTTCAATTACTATGCCGCACTGTATATACCAATGTTCATATCCAGAAATTCGTTTCGAGCAGCGTGATTGACGTCAAAAGGCCCCTAACTTTTTAGGAAACAACTCTAAACCATTACAATTATAAACGAATTATGTAAATAGTATTAGAATTATAGTAAGAAGTATTATTTTATATGGAGAATAATAGCGAAAATAGTATATTATTCATCAAGTGCGGTAAACGGCATTTGACTCACGAGTTTATTTGACACGACCGAACGTGTTGCATACTATACTTTTTCTACGACCGTTAGTTTTTGGGTATATTTTCGCAAAACACGAATACATTCACTGACATGACTGTCAGATTTGACAAACGTCAAAATTCAAAGTGTGGGAAATATCTCCGAAAACATCCGATCGCTTCCAAATCCGTGCGGTAAAATCCCGGAAATATCCGAAGTGGCTCGGATTCGTGGGAAACGAAACTGACGTGGTAAAGCGACGCTTCCGGCACGCTAGATCGGTGCGTAATTAGGTATTATTTTACAGACGGGAGTAGAAAAAAGCTATTTTGCATACAAAGTTAATACCGCTAATACTCGACCTATGTACTCAACTCAATAAAGAATAATGGAGAAATGAAATTTGTAAGAAAAACCTACAGAAAAAATAATTAGAAACCTTTTGTTATGGTTGTATTTGAAAAATATTTCATATTTAAAAATTTCTTATTTGTCTATTTTTGATTACCACAAAATAAATAATGAATGTTTATTTCTGTTAAAAACTTGGAATAATACTACTTTGTTATCCATGGAAATATTAATAATATTGCAATGGATGGTTTCAAACAGGAAACGGTACAACTAAATATATTCGGAAATTCTTTCCAGTTCTAAATCTAAGTTTTCAACTCTCCTCGTACATCTCTTGGAGCTAAGTGTATTTTTGTAAGACGATCTAATTATATATTTATCAATTTTCATTTTGTAATTACATTCATCTCCCGAAAACGTCTTTGGTTATGTTGTTTCACATTTCGCTAGATTTGCGTAGGTAGTGTTTTTAATGGTTAGTTATCGGCGGCAAAGTAAAACAAAGGGGTCAGGTTGGTTATTGGTATAACCACGCTTTTACCAGTGGTTAACTAATATTCCGTGGTCTGATACGTACCAATATTGAATCTAGCCTATCCCATATGTTCACTTTTCGACTTTAATTTTATCTTTGACCTGACGATAACAAGAGAAGTTCTGTTAAGAAGGCGCTGTTGGAAATATTGAATTTTCCAATGTGGAATTTGTCCAGCTGGATATATTGAGTTTGTCTTGGGCAGTTTAAATCCACAGCGACCTGTCTGGTGATTATTTTTGGCAATCGACGTTTTAGTCGGATTTTAGTCGAAAACCCCAAACGACATCGTGGGTACGTTTGCTACCATTTTCTGGTATTCTAAGTTTGGCGAGACGTTAAACAATTCTTTACTCTAGGGTTTTTTTTTACTTTCTTCTGCGTTGTTCCTCCTTTCGTCCGGGTCGTCGTTGCCCGACACCTGCAACTTGCAAGTTGGAGTGGAAATATCTTTTGAATTATTTTAAAAAGGAAGTAGGTGATTTAGCTTAGTTATCCGAGATAATTACAATAATAAATAATGAGACTGGTTTCTAAAGCGTTTTCGTTATCGACTTATCGGTTAAATAAGAATCTCATGTTGTAACGACTCCTGAGCTGGCCAGTAGCATATTAGCCCATTGTTTAGCTAGCTGGACGTGACGTGTCCATCCAGTAGGAAAAGTGAATGGTTGGTAATTTATCTGACTTCAGCAGAAATTATGAAAAAATATGATAAAGCTACAAATGTAAAGTATTTTTAATACTTTTGAGTTTTCTGAAGAGCTGACAACCGATGGAAGCTAGTCTGTAGCTGCCCACTTGGAACTGCGAGTCCAGGTAAGACGACAAAGAAAAATAGTGAAATAATGACAGCGCAGTAGCAACAGTAATAAAGTACACCTATAATTTACTACTTCTCTTATCTCGCGACACAAGCAAAACTCAATCAACATTTTTTGCATATCGAAACTATTTCAACAAATACCTTCCGGAAATATTCATCCCGGAGATTATCTCTACATTATAACTTGCGCTGCACCTGTTTCCGCGAAGTTTTCTCGAAACTTTCGTTGCCTTATTGCGTTTGTGCAATACGAGATAAAAATGTGCCAACGCCGATGACACGTTGCAAACGAAGTTTATTTTTTCTGTACACCGGTGGACATTTGTTTGCATTATCGGCATTCCCGACAGCATACTCAACCAAACGGGTTCTCGGAATACCTTTCATTCCACTTTTTAAAAACATTTTGTCTTAATCAGGCTTCCGAGATCGGAAAGAATTCAATTATTTCGTTAATTATAAGTGTATTCGTTTGTTCTTAAATGTGTTTACAAAGCGCTTATATTAAAATAGGTATGCAGTCACAAATTTTTGTACGTCAGAAATACCACTCTTATTTCATTTTACTATAATTATTTTTTCCGATAAAAGAAAACTTAAATCATTTTTTGATGCTTCCAACAATCCACCGTTCACATAACCAAACCATCTTTTCTTTTATTTTTTAAATTATAATAATTAATTTAAACATTAAACATTAATTTAAACATGTTTAGAAAATTTCACAACAAAAAATGGCAATCACCTTTAAAAATTGTGTTCTCGGTTCAGTTTTGCAAAAACAATTTTTATTTTAATTAGTTTAATAATATCAGTACCATGTTAGTATATAAAAAGCATTACAGTAGCCTGTGGAAGTTTCTTTGAAAAACTATGTTAATATTTATTTTTTAGAGACTAATACTCAGCATTCAGCATTTTTTTGAGAATAATCTTAATAATTTGTAACATTATTATTATTATTGCACAACCAATTAGGTGTATAAAGGTAAATGCAGCTATTCTAGTTTCCTAGGTGTCTTTTTTTGTTTGAATAGTTTAATATACAATTTTGTCCAACGAATAATTTTTTGATACGACGAAGTACCCACCATTCCCTCCAACCCAATCAGCATTTCGACTCTTATTAAATACCCTCGACAGAAATGTCACGGACAAAGGATTGGATATAAATAATTTACTTCTATCATGAGGTATCTGACATAAATTTAAACAAATACCTTGGTTATCAATTAGTAAATTTCACATCAATAAAACAAATAATAAAAAACCTTCAGTTATACACAAATGTTTTTACACATTTTTGATTTCGATTAGGCAAATTTTCAAAATTTGATTTTTGTGTTATCTTTGGCTGTATTCGGGACATTGTAGGAGGGTGGAGATCGAGAACATCGAAACAGGAAGTTTAAAAATTACGTGAGTTTTGTCACGTTGAAGTATTTAGTAAAATATGTTATTTTCTCAAGGTATTTAAGATTATATTATTCCTGTGATAATGTTTGAATATAATCAGAAATCATGAAAAAAAAACACATGTTTTGAGGCCCATTAGGAAGAACCTAAAAATTAGAGAAAGTTTTTTGTTAAACACCCGATGTATTTAAAACTAATCGATGAAATGTTAAACTTGACATTTATTTATTTTTTTTTTGCAATTTTCTACCTTAAACTGGTCTATAAAAAACGATTTATTGACGTGTGAGCGTTCTTCCGCCTCCATCCGAAGGGGCGTGAATGTGTTCTCAAGACGAATTTAAAACGGTAGATAATTGGTCGTCAATCTCCTCGGTTTTGTTTTTTTGACGGCCCCGCAGTAGTTTAGAGACATAATTTGATAATTGGCATCTTCGGCTCGCATTGTTTTGTCGACGATCTGTCATTACGATTTATTTATCGCCTCGTATTTTTCGTTTTAAGCGCCCGCGGGCCGTGTAATCGTTTAATTTGTTTCGAAAGACCACACCCTTCGCACCTGACGCGTTACGGATTTACTTTTTTCGCGGTTGAGATGGATGGCCGCGTAACATTTTAATAAACAATCAAAGTTCAATTAAAATAGCGAATTTATTGGTCGGGCGTTTTTTACAAAACAACAAAACGCGAAGGTCATATATTTGTCGAAACATAACTTACCTTTCTCTCTCTCTCTCGCTCGCTCTCTTCTGAAGAACAAATCACGTCTATTCAGTATTCTTCTCGGATCTGAAACAAAATGAAATTAGATTAATCAAATTTGTTCGTTGAGCCCTCATGAGATTATTTTGGTGGATAATTCGACATATCCGACAATGATATTATATACTAAGGCAAAGAGACAGTTTAGATAATAAACATATGTCCCATAATGTCTATAAAAGGGATGCCAAAATGCATTTTTCTTTTTTTAAATTATTTTTCCATCGGTTTAAATTACCTACTTAAATAAATAAATAAATAAATATATAAATATATATATATATATATATATATATATATATATATATATATATATATATATATATATATATATATATATATACACTTTTGCTTCTAGTCAATAATATATTATATTAATAAAATTAAATATACAATTTTTTTTATAGATATGGAAAGCGATCTCAAATCAAATAAAAGAAAATCTAAAAATACCTCGAAATTTATTTATTGCTTCTATTTTTGCCCCCTTTTTTGTATTGCGTCGATAGCTTTAATTTTGGTCTCGTCAATCTTTTAATTAAAGCCACTATTTTACCTACATCTTGTTAAGTGGTTTTGCAAAATAATAGTTGCAAGAAGACGGACCAAATTGGATAAGATACAAATACCCAATCATAAATATTTGTAAACAATATTTAACTTCGAAATTTTATGTTTATTGCAATGTGGACATTATAATTCTTAATAATTTTGAAGAATTTTCTATAATTTTATATTGAGTAAATAAATAAGTTGAATGTTTTTCGTTTTTCTTCATTACTTGCTTTTGGTTTCATAAATAATAATAAAATGTAATGTTTATCCCGTTTTTTTTTAATTTTTAGCTGGCTGTAAATACATTTTATAACACTTTATTAAGATTAGAAATCTTTCATAGCATCAAATTTTGTCATATTTTCGAAAAAATCGCATTTTCCAGTAAAATATTGTTTATCCGTTGTTGCCTTCTATAACAAATAATACCTGTTTTTAAAATAAATGTCTACATTGCGCGGAAACTCTTGTTTTTTCTACATTATGAATTTTTAAAATCGATTCGATCAATTATGCAAACACTTCCATAATAATCTAAGACTACAGGCGCCAGAGAATGATAATTATTTATTAGGAAAGCGCGCACTGACAACGCCGAGTAATTTATTTAATTAAAAACAAACACGCGCGTTGTTTCTATCGCGAATTGCGACAAACAAACGCGCGGAAACGGACATTTTTACGCGAACTTAACGCGGCCAAGGACGATTCCCTGAGGCACTTCCGACTTAAGTTCACGTCGACTCTCCCCAAAGGTGATCCACCAATTATTTGAATATTTGGTGGTTGGATTGTGAAGAATTCTGAATAAAATATTATATAATGTTGTAATTAAAAAGTAAATCCTTATTTTCCGCCGAAATGTTTTACGTACCAAACTTTGTAAAGTTAACTAGACAAGAAGCTGCTAGCTACTAGTGAGCTTACATCAGAAATAGTGCAGGGCTTTGAAAATAACAAATTTGTTTATTCTCTCTTGTTTGATTTACAAAAAGCTTTTGATTGCGTAAATCCAGCTATATTGCTATTAAAATATTATAATTTTACTGATACAAGCATCAGCTTAATTGCATAATTTCTAAACAATCGTAAGCAATAGGTACAGTATGGCGGAACGAAGTCTCAGGTAAAATCAACCCTAATGGTGTTTCACAAGGCTCCACGCTTGGTCCAGTGCTATTCTTAATATACATAAACGATATAAGACTGATTGATATTGATCTTACTGTTCGCTGAAGATACTGTTGCGATATATAACGACTGCAATTTACTCAGTTTTAACCAGCAAAAAACACAGCAAATAATTTTTTTTATAGAAACCATGATTACGAAAATCCGGCCTCAGTAAAATACCTACGGTTTCATTTTGATCCACATCTAACATGGAAGGATCATGTAGACAAATTAGGTAATAGGATTACCGGCGATATATTTTTAATTAGATCACTGAAGGATCTTGTACCTCGGTCTGTGTTAATGCTAGCTTACCACTCTCTTTTTGTCTCTAAGTGTTCTTACGGTTTACTTATATGGGGCCATTCTGCTCATACATATCGTGTATTTTCTTTACAGAGGAGATTGCTGAGAGTATTGTCGGGAATAGGATATGCCGATGACGTAAGACCATATTTTATTGGCCTCCGTATTCTGACGTTGCCAAGTCATTTTATTTTATTGTGTCTTATTTACGTGAAGAAGAATGCTAATCTTTATACGACAAATACTAAAATCCAGGAACATAACACCCGTAGTACAACTGATATAAGATTGCCTTTTACAAGATTGGTTTCATAATTATTACTGTGCTGTCTTATATAATAAATTACCCAACAAATTAAGGGATTTAAGTTTGAATGTGTTACAGCGAACTTAAAAAAAAAATCAACTTGGAAGGGCTTTCTACAATATACAAGAATATCTCCAGTTTAATTTTGGAAATATGAATTTTGGGTAGATAAGTTAGTGTTTGTGGTGGGATTGGCATAGTGTTATTCAAATTTTGTAAACTTCGTTTTTATTAATTGGTTTGGTTAGTGTGTTTTATACTTTTGATTAGTTGTATTTGATTATTTATTAGTATTATAATATGTGATGCATAGACTGTGATATCTTTAGATACTTTATAGTTGACGTGTGAAAACAATTGTTTTATTGTAAATATCACGAAATAAATTTGAATTTGAATTTAAAAAAAAAGGATATTAAATAATTAAAACTAGATGCAGATAATTTTTCAAAACGTACTTTTAATGGTAAAATAATAGATTTTATAACCCGTATGTAAGGTACTGCATTCAAATTGTTTGCTACTGCGTCAATTGCGTCAAAAGTCTAGGAATCTGGTACTATTATTTCGTAAGAACTTAAATTTTGCTGTTTAACATAATAATAACAATATTGTTTAATAAAAATTGAGTGGTAAAATTTTATCGAAAAAGCAGTGCATCTAAACAAAACTTTTCTGTACCTCTGCTCCGACTGATTTTCATTTGTTAGCAAATTAGTCTAATAACACTAATTACAAATTTTGTGTATCCGTCTTATTCAAGAAAAAAAAATTAAAAATACAGTTTCTTTGAATGTGGGAGATAATTCATCAATGTTGAAATTAGAATAATTTCGGCCTTCCATTATTTTTCCATTGCATTAGCGCAATACTTAGAATAGAAGCTGATGTTGAATGCCAAACTATAGACTAGCTTTCGACTTTTTAAAACTATGGCAGTTTAGATGGATATTTTATTTGTATGTTATCGCAGATACAGAGTTCATTGCATTTTATTGTAGATCGGGTTTTGAAGTACCAGCTAAAAGGATTTAAGACCTTAAAATCATCGTGAGAAAATAAGGAATAACGAGGGTATAGCAGAAACGGGCACAAAACGGAAGGAACTAAAAATGATTTATAGAAGAATTATGTTATGTTACAAATCCTTCCAGCTATGGGCATGTGGTATAATTTTTATAAAGCAAAAATTGTTTTTGGAAGATGTCCATATATACTTATCAAATTACACAAATATATAACGCTTTGGAGCACTCCCGTCTCTGCATTGTAACTCTTATTTACTTAATAACAAGGTTTTTCATTGTAAAAATGGTATACGAATATTTTTTACAAAACTTCTGGAATCCTCTTGCTGACGTTTCGCCAATCATCCGTTGACTTCTTCAGAGCTTGACCGAAACTGGCTCGCATTTTACTGTCCCTGCTTATATATTGCTTGAGGGTGGCGAAGCTAAATGAGCGACATAAACTCAGATTTTTCATTGGTAGAAGAATTGATTACATGCAAGAATTTTAGTGTTATTGAATAAAATTTTATGTCCGGTTTCCTGATTGTGTTCGACAACAGCTGATGAGTTTAGTCGTAAGACTCTTTCGTGTTCTTTGAGATTAGTTGATATTTTTCGTTTCTCCAATGTATTCTTTGCCGCATATGCATGGAATGCTGTAGACTCCTGGCATCTCAAATGGAATTTTGTCTTTGACGGACCGAAATATTGAGAGATTTTTGAACAAATGGTAAATCTGGTTTTGACGCTATACCTCTTTAGAACTCTTAATATATGGTCAGTGATATTTTGAATATAAGGAAGGACCACAGTGTAGCCTCAGCCTCATTGCTATTGGAAAGTGTGGTGAAGTGTATTTTTTGATGGAACGCTTAATATATTTAATGTGGAAATTATTAGAGAGAAGAGCATAAGTAAGGTGTTTTAATTCTGTGTTCAGTGACTCGGGTTGAGATAGTCTTACGACTCTGTAGACAAGAGAATTGAGTACTGATGATTTGGGCCGGATGATGATGTGACCATGCATTAAGGTATCGGTCTGTGTGCCTAGGTTTTCTGTAAACACAATGACCCAATGTTAGGTTTGAGAAAATCTACTAGGGTTTCTTGACCATTAGGCCAAATAACAAATGTATCATCGACGTAGTGTTGCCATAATTTTGGTTTTAGATGAAAGGTGTCGAGATCTTTTTCACAAAGACTTTCATAAATATATTCGCTATGATCGGTGATAGTAGAGAGCCAATAGCTGTTTCCGACGTTTGTTTAAAAATTTTATATACGAATATTAATTGGCCAAGAAAAATTATTGTGGAACGAAGCAAAAACAATTGAGCACTACAGAAATAGCGCCTACTATTAACAGTCGTTTGATATTTTTTATTAATCTTATAAACCATGTAATTAAGTTATTAACACAAAAGTAATTTTAATTTGCTCAATTTCTAAGAAACGGAAAAAAATCAGATGGAAAAAATCTATAAGAAAAACTGTTACAGGAATTCATTTTTTTTTTAACTTTTGGGAATTTTATTTACCTCACAGTAAGCCAAAATATGGTGACGCCTCTGTTGCGCTCGATTGCTTTTTTGCGCCATGTTTCGCTATTTTACAATGGAAAACATTTTTTTTTTCAATATTTCAGATTTCCTCATCTTTTTTAAAGAGGAAACGTT